TGTGCCCATTACTCAAACAGTGTTCACTGTAAATATTAGGTAGGTTTTTTAATCAACATTTCTCTTTCCTCGGATTCCTTGGTTTTTTGACAGTCTGCTTCAACAACACTGATCACCCTGCTCAACCTTCTTTCTTTAGGTACTTTAGGCAGTGAACTTTCTGACTATAAACAGTCATTGCAATGCGTTCTTTTTAACAAAATTGCAATCACACAGTAAAACAGGGTATGTTTCCATATATTTTTGTCATAAGTTTTATATATCATTTTAACAGGTAATCTATTTTGCTTGGAGATTATCAATTTGAAATCCTGTTACTGCTGTAGATACTTGTCTAATGAGAAAGAATTTTGTGATACATTTGTGTTTACATTGATACTGCCATTTTAACTTTATACCATAGACAAGGAAACAATGTGCTATTGTTGCTAAGAATGAATCTTAACATTTTGCTGGAGTTAAATATTCCAACTCACATCAGGCAGTGTATACTTCTCAAAAACCTTATCACAATAAATATTTTCTATTTTAAATTACTATGCACATTTTACTTATCCACTCCATGAAAATAAAAAAAATGAAAAACTCTTGGAACAAAAGCATTGTTTTTATTAGGGGTTGTGTGTGTGTGTATATGTGTGTATGTGTGTGTGTGAGAGAGAGAGAGAATGTGGTTATTTTAATAAAACTATTGTGTAATTTACTTAATGATCTTTAGCTTGAGCTTTCCAAAGGTATCATGACTATAAGCAAATTGATAGGAAAGTAGACAACAATGAATTAAGGGTTACTGGCAGCCTAAGACACTGTTTATCTCTTTTAAGGTAGACAGAATTCAAATTGCCCTCATTAGCTGAGCAATATGCTGTGGAAAATGAGCTGGGTACTTATCAAGAGGCTCTTTCATTTGCATTTTTGCTAAATAAATAAGCTGTTCTGTCTTCTAGCTGCTCAAGAGCCGTGAATAGGAGAAAAGAAAATAATTCAGGTAAGTAAGCCAGGGGGCATTCCAGGACTAGATTAAAGAAAACAAAAAGTTTATCAATGAAGATATCAGAATTGTGCCTTATGTATTTGTGATACAAAAGGACAGTCTCACACATAGTTAGGATAGGAGGTACAAATATATTAATTCTCCCCACATCCACCAGTACCACAAGCAAAGCTAGAGGCTGTTCTTTTGATAAACGATCAATACTTCAGCCTGACACTACCCTCGCTGCCCTGCTGTTGCTAGTTAAAAGTTTGCATTTCAATTAAGCAGTAAATCTTTATGGTATTACATCTCCAACAGTCAATTAATGTCTCCCTAATCTCTTGAAATTCTGAAACACTATTATTTCGCACAGTCCTTTTCTTTAGGTTCATTCATCGGGCAAAATATTCTTACTTGATTTGTAAAGACATATTTTCCTCCAAATAAAAACACAAATATGCAATAATTGTTTTGTTTAGATTTTTAGTCACAGACCTTTGTGCAAAGAATGTTATACTTCCAAAGTAAAGGAGACAAT